AAAAAAAAAAAAAAAAAATTCCTGGTATTTTGAGATGATACATCACGACTCATCATTCTGGCTAATGGCTTTTGTGTATGAGTGTAGCACCCTGGACTGTGCTGCTTTTGGTTGGTCAGTGCCTGAGCTGTAGGTTTTTGTTACTTTTGATACAGCCCAGAGCATTAGTGTAAATATTGTTTAGATTGATGACTGTTATGTAAAACACTTCATGGCATATACAACATTACTGTGTAAATGTTATATTTCTGCATATATATATTATAGAAAAATCATTCGAAAACATCAGTGGACTGTACATTTATTGAGGTCAGAGACCATCTTCTACAGCTTTTATAGTTTACAGTGTCTGAAGCAGTGGTAAATACAAACTGGGTGAATGCATTTTGTGTGTGTGATTGTTAGTGCATTCAAGAGCCAAATTTCTGCACCTTTAGGCCCGAGAAGGCCGGACCACCATCGTGATAGCTCATCGCTTGTCCACAGTTCGCAATGCTGATGTCATCGCTGGGTTAGAAGACGGTGTCATTGTGGAAAAGGGAAATCACGAGGAACTCATGAAAGAGAGGGGTGTTTACTACAAACTTGTCACAATGCAGGTCTAGTACCTCGAATTTTCTCAAATTGTCTTAGTTATAAACTGATATTGCTGTGATTTGTGCTAACAGTAAATATTATTTGATCTGATTCTGTTGAAAAATAGGTAAAGTACTTAGGGGAGTCAGGAAAAGCTGAATGTTTTTCTTAAAATACAAGAATGTATGAAGGATAAAAGTATAAATGGTTTAAATTTAAGCTCTGCACTTTGGGAGCTACGAGCTACAATGGCTACTGATAGTTTGAGTGGTGGTTGAACTGAATTGAAATGTTGTAATTAGAAACTTCAAGCAAGGCCTATTACAAAGAATGTGAACTATGTCAGTGATTTTAACTGTACACTGCATGTGCAAATAAAAATGTCCCTAGAATCACTAATATATATGTTAGGTTAAATAAAATAGGTAATACTGTTTTTACCTGTTTGTTCACATTGTGATGCCTAGAAAATTGTAAATGACAAATATGGCTCACATTATAGTTTGAACCATATTCTGTTGCCTGTGGTTGAAAACAAGCCTGAGTGAGCCATATACTCCCAGAAGGAAGACCACTAGATAAAATACTTGGAAGAAATATCATATTATTTTGGTATATCCAGTGGGAATCCTTCCTATTTAGTCATTTTCATTTTCTGTATATCGTGCCAAAACTAAAAATGGTGTAAGACTGTCTTCTTGTTTTTTTTCTTCTTTGTGTTTTGAGAGAGCGTCTCACTGTGCAGTTCACGCTGAGCTCCTAGCCCAGGCTGATCTGGAACTCACTGTGATCTTCCTGTCTGAGCTTGCAGAGTCCTGGGTTCACAGGCATGTGCCATCATGCCCACTTGTATCCTGTCTTGTTTTCACTTAAATTATTATTTCTTTAATTCTTTAAAGTAGTAATTTTCATTACTTACTATTCTGAGTCTAACCAGTTGACACATTTCTTGTTTATTTTAGACAGGAGGAAATGAAATTGAATTAGAAAGTGAAATTTTTGAATCCAAAAGTGAAACTGATTCCTTGCTATCTTCAAATGATTCAGAATCCAGTCTACTAAGAAGATCAACTCACAGGAGTATGCGTGCATCACAAGGCCAAGAGAGAAGGCTGAGCACAAAAGAGGAGCTAGTAAGAAGGACAGCAGCACTCTGTGTCCTGTATCCTCCCTCGGGGCTCCTAGCTGTGTGGGCTTGCAGTCCTGTAGGAGCAGGAACGAGAAGTGGTTTTTTAGCATCTTCTGTTCTGTCTTTCAGAGTGATTCATAATGCAAAGTGTCGATACTTCACAGTCAGTTAAAATTTGTAAATAAGAAGTCAGATAAAGAATTTTTAGAATTAGAACTTAAAATTTCTATTATTTATTAGTACTTACAAATATTCTTGTAATATTTTGAATGTCAGGCCAAGAGTAAAAGGTTTGTTGAAATGTCATTTCTGAAAAATGTAACAATCTTTCAGCACTGTTTTTTGAAGGGGATACCACTAAGAAGAACAGAGTACATTTATTTTTTAAAATTGTGCATATGGTAGAAGTATACATCATAAAATCAATTAGTAATTCATTGAATGTTTCTTGTTTCCTAGGATGAAAATGTACCTACAGTTTCCTTTTGGAGGATTTTAAAGCTGAATTTAACAGAATGGCCTTATTTTGTGGTGGGCGTGTTTTGTGCCATTATAAATGGAGGCCTGCAGCCAGGAACTTCCGTAATATTTTCAAGGATTATAGGGGTAACTATGCTGCTTAGTGGTCGTCATGGAGGAGTGGCTGCGCTGTTTGTAATGTGTACTCGTACACACTGTGGTAAAAATGTGAGCCTTCATGTGAAACCACAGAATAGAAGTCTAGTTGGTGAGAGGAAAGCTGAGTTTAAAAAACTTCCTTTGTCCTGGCTTCTATCCAATCCTTGGTTGATTTCTATCATTATTAGTTCCTCGGGGAAACAGCTCCTTAAAAAGTCAGTGCGATGAGTTTCCCATTCTCTCCACCGTGGAGTTCTAAGCAAACCCTTGAACTGTCATCTCACAGATGCACAAATGGGCCCCCATGTATTTCTCAGACTGGCTTGAAATGGCCTTTTTATAACAGACCTGCTTGCCAGGGCAGTGGCAGGTCTAGCATGCTAGCTGTGTAAGAGACTTTATCTCATGAACGAAATACAAACGAAATACAAAGCAACAGCTTCCTAAAGAAGTTCACAAGATATTGACATGTTAGTTTTAATTTTTTTAATGGTAGCATTTTTGATAAGAAATTTACAGTCTGGGCAGACATACTCTCTTTTTAGTGACTGATTTTCAGCCATCAAGCTGAGAACTCCCTTGCCATCCTGCTGAAAACCTTGAGAATACCCTTGTTGTATTGCTGAATGATCACCACAGAACATAAACTGTATGCTATTGATTTTATACAAAAACATTCCAGATTATTCAAGTCTGCTCTTACCTAGGTACCTCATTTCAGGTTGACATTTATGTTTAACATACTCATATTTTTCTACTTGTAATGTGGAGGTAGGAAGATGTCAAGTTTGATGCCAGTCAAGGCATTTTGTCATGTCTCTCTCAAAAAATAAACAGTAAATGATCAAGAGGTATAGCTTAGCATGAAGCCCTGGGTTCAATTCCTAGGACTACACAGAACCAACCAAACAAACAAAACCCAGCATGTTTTTGTCCCAAGTATTTTCTGAGGAAACACCAGGGCCAAAATGGCTGATTCCATGGAACATGTACTCTAGGTCAGGGCACAGGAAACTTTTGCTATGAAGGTTAAGAGAGCAAATATTTTATGTTTTCAGGCCATGTGGTTTATTTTGCAAATACTGCCTGGACGTCATTGAATCTGGAGCCCCTATAACGTGGATTGGCATCATCCACAGCTTTGTAAACAGTGGACCTTGAGTCAGCTTGCTTGGGTCTATGTTCTTGTGCTATCGTTGTTGGCTTCCTACCTTGAGGAAGTTAATGTGTCACTCTGTGCTACAGTCTCTCTGTGAAATGGAACTTTCACCGATGATTATGAGAATAAAAGGAACGGTACATGTGAATTTGTTTAGAATAATACCTGGCACAGAGTAAGAATACAGTGATCTTTGTCTATATAGATATTTTTGAAATGACTCATCCAGAAAAATTAATTTCTTCAAAAATACTTTTTAAAATAAAATATGAAAGCCAGGCGTGGTGGTGCAAGCCTGTAATCCAAGCACTTGGGAAACTGAACCAGGAAATTTTCTGTGAGTTTGATACCAGCCTGGGCTACACAGTGAATGCCAGAGCAGTCTGAACTACGTACTGAGACCCTGTCTGAAAAAAACAAAACAAATAAAATAAAATATGAAGTTACAGTTGGGTTAGGATTGGATGTCTCTAAGGAGGCTGATTTGGCTGTGTGAAAGGAGATATGTTTGTGTTGTTCACAGTTTTCCTTGAACCCAAGACATTCTGTAGCTCTCCTCACCACCTTCTAGAAAGGTTCCCAGGAATGGTGCTAGGTGAGCTGGCTGCTCTTCCCCGTGGGCTCTCTAACTGGCCATTGTACAAGCAGTGCTGGTTCACACCTCCTTTCTTTCTGCAAAGCCTGGGCTGAGTAACTGAACACTTCCTGTGATCACCAGATTTTCTCCAGATGCCTTGAAATAGCTTGAAGTATCCCCAGTAAATCGCCACACAATGCAGCTCTCACCAGGGGAAGAGGAACGTGTTTGATTTCCACTTTACACAGGAGGGTAGCATTCAGTACTCCAGAGGTTACCTGAGCAGGCGAAGCACTGGGTCAGTGCGTGAATGACAGGCCCTCTCTTGGTCTCTAAGGAAGGCAGAGTACAGGTAGATGCCCGGGAGACTGGCTTCATGGAGGCCAGTTCTCATTTCCGGTGTCCTGAGGCTCTCCCCAGCGCAGACCGTGCCAGACCAGTGTGAGTAAACTAACAGCCTTCAAATATTTTCTTCATAGGTGTTTGCAAGAAACGATGATGATGCAACCAAACGGCAGAACAGTAACCTGTTCTCACTATTGTTTCTACTCCTTGGAATCGTCTATTTTATCGTATGTTTCCTGCAGGTAAATGTGTACATTTTTACTTTTCTCATGGTGGGGGCATCTGTAAACATCTGTGTAATTTACCCTTTAGTTGAATCGCCCCTCAGTGAACTTGACTGTTAGTTGTTCTGCATTCTCTGCCTCCCTTGCTCACTCATCCTCCCTCTCACCCCCTCCCATGTGGAGATATCGATGAAATCTGGGAGTGGAGTGGATTGCTCGTGTGTAGTGATTGGAAGTTCAAGTGGGAGTCAAAAATGGCTTTGGGGAAACCCTGGATATGTTTACATTTAGGTCCTGTTGTTCAGTTTTAATACACAAGAAATGTTTTCCTGTATTCTAAAAATAACAGATTACTTCTTTGTCTGAGAAATGTCTGTTCATTTCACATGCCCATTTCTGAATTGGTTCTTCATGTTTCAGGGGGAGGTTCTGATATTTTTGAGGTCTTTGTATATTCTAGATAGTAGATCTTTGAGTAGCAGGTGGTACAAAATTTGCCCCACATTGTGGATTGTCTCTTAGTTCTGCTTGTGATTTCTCTGGCAGTGCAGAAGTCCTTTAAAAAGATGAGATCCCAGTTGTTGATTCTTCATGCTAGTTCCCGTGCTACTGAGGATTTGTTCATAAGGTCTTTTCCTATGCTCATATCTTCAAGAGTTCTATTTAGCTTATCTTCCAGCAAGTTCAGTGTTTCCGTTTTAATATTTATATCCTTAATTGACCTGGATTTTAGTTTAGTGCATGGTGAAAGGTATGGGTCTAGTTTTAATCTGTGACAAATTGAAATCCAGTTTTCCAGCGCCATTTATTAAAGAGGCTATCTTTCCTCCAGTAAGTGTGTTTGTTTCCTTTGTGAAAGATGAGGTAGCTGAATATGTCAGGAGTCGTTTCTGCATCTTCTGATCTGTTTCACTGATCCTCAGGTGTGTTTCTTTGCTAGTACCATGCTGTTTTTATCACAGTGGCTTTGTTGTGCAGTTTCAAGTTTGGGATTAGTAAATGATAATTAATAATCAATAATTGAAAAAACGTTCAGCATCAGTGGTCATTCAGGAGCTGCAGATGAAAATGACACTGAGATTCCATCTCACTCCAGTAAGAATGGCTGCTATCAAGAAATCAACCAATAATAAATGCTGGCACGGTTGTGTGTAGATAGTAACCCTTCTTCATTGTTGGTGGGAGTGCGGACTGATGCAACCACTGTGGAAATCATTGTGGAGATACCTCATACAATTAGGAGTAGAAGTCCCATTTGACCTAGCTATTCCTGTGATGGGTATCTTCCCAAAAGAATTAAAAGAGTCTTACCATGTTTCTAGCAATGTTTTTTGTAATAGCTAAAATTTGGAAACAGCCCAATTTCCCATTAACTGGAGACTGGATGAAAAAGATGTATGTTTTTTCTTTTAATAAAACAAAATACTACTCAGCCATAAAGAAGGAGAAACTAGAGACATTTATGGCTAAGTGGATGCACACTGAGGCCATACTGTTAAATGAAATTAATAAGTCACACATGTGTAAATACCAAATAGTTTCTCTGGTTTGAAAAACTAAAAGTGAAAATAAGGATCAAAATGTATAACTGATATTGTGTAATAGGAAGAAAAAGTTAAAAGGAGTAGAGGAAGTGGGAAAGGTAACGTAAAGGTAAAAAGGGAAAGGGAAAACATGGAAACAATGTTTTTTGTAAACAGGGAAGGATGGAGGGGTGTGGAATGGGGAAAAGTAAGAACTAAAATAAGTCATGTATAGGTACAAGATCCCAATAATGAATGTAACTATTGTGTACCTAAAATGTAGTAGTAAATTTAGTAAAGATAAAAAACAACAGATTAAACTCACTCATTCCACTTTTGTAAAGAAAAAAGAATCCCCCCCTTTTAAGAACTCTTTTAATGAAAGAAGAATGGCAATCCTCAAAAACTGTAGGCACAATATATTGATTCAGATTTTCCGGGTTGCTTATCATGGGTTGAAATAAATTATAAAGAAATTAAGTGCTCTGAAAGTTAAGTACGGTAAGGACTTGGAGGCTTGGTGTGTTAACCTTCTGTCCTTTCTGAAATAACAAGTTAAAGTAGAAAATGCACATTTCATTTCCTTTTTATTTTATTTATTTATTTTGGTACCAGAATCAAACTCAGGACCACATAGTACTGCTGAGCTGAATTTTCAGTGTTTATTAGCATGTTTGGAGTCATGAATCATGGGATCTTTATACGTGTATATAATACATCTTAATTATTTTTACCTCCCTTCCTGTCCTCTGGACCTTTATTTTTTGATGTTAACTTTTTTGAGATTTTGTATATTCTAGACATTAATTCTCTATCTGAAGAGCAACTGGCAAAAATTCTCTCCTATTCTGTAGGCTGTCTGTTCGCTCTGATTTTTATTTTCTCTTTAGGAGTTTTAAATGCAATGTACTACCACATGTTGGTTCTTGCTGTTATTTCCTGTGTATTGGCATCGTCTTCAGGTAATCTTTGCCTGTGTCTATGACTTCAAGTGTCTCCCTGTGTTTTCACTCAGCAATTCAAACCTTTTGGATTTTATAGTTTGTTTGTTTGTTTGGTTTTTTTGGTACCCAGGATTGAACTGGGGTGCTTGCTCTGACAAGGCAGGCGCCAGAACCACTGAGCTGAGTCCCTGCTCCACCATCTTCCCATTTTGAATTAATTTTTCTACAGGACATAAATCAGGATCTAGTTTCAATCTTTTGTATATAAATGATCCCAGAACTGATTCAGAAAGTGGCAAGGACCGTGGGATAAGTGTTTCCACAGTGATGGGACATAGTTGTGGGGCATTAACAGCAATGTGTCTTTTACTGCAATGATTGTTTCATTCAATTGCACCTTGTATGTTTTTGCTCCCTTAGTCAAGACTCAAATAGCTATAGGGGAAAAAATGAGAACCAAGACCTGTCCTGTGAAGGTACTAGATCCCAATGAAGAGTGTAACTGTACTGTACACCTAAAATGTACCAATAAACTCAATGAGAGAGAAAAAAAGAATCAAATAGCTGTAATTCTGTAGGTTGTTTCTGTGACCCCTGTTCTGTTCCACTGGTATGTGTGTCTGTACATCTTGCTTTTGTTACTGTGGCTTTATGGTATAACTTGGGATTCGGTACTGTCACTGGCACAGGGTGTCCTCAGGGACCCAGGTCTGTAGTTTCTCTGTGACTTGTGATCCCCTAGAATACCTCCGTGTCATACAGTGAGCGCCCTCTCAGGATGGGCTCTGGCTGTAGCTTAAAAAATATGGCAATGCTGCAGGATATTTCTTCTCCAAAGAGGGCCTGCCATGGAGGAGGAGTCTCTCTCTTTCAGAGAGCCCTCACACTGAATTTACAGATTAGGGTAACCTTAGTTTCTTCTGGCTGGGGCTGCTGGTCCGTTGTTTGTCACTAGGTCCCACGGATCCGGGCTGACTTTGTTCTTAGACAGCAGAATCACCCACTTGCCCTAGATCCTTTGGCACTACTGACTGCTTCATATTTTCACTGCCTCACATTTCTTTTTCTGTGATTTTTAGGCTTTGTGTCGCCTTTGTTTGATTCTGAAGCTCACTCTCTCTTTGGAATTCAGCTTCTCATTTCTCACTGGTCTCTCTTCTCACTTGCAGATTCATGCAAAGGAGACTTCTTTCTTATTCCAGAATTTTACCTGAAACCCAGACTTTGGCTTTTATCCACCAGGAAACTAAGAGCTTGATGCCTTTATTGTCTGTATCTCTTATGGGCTGGGGTCACCATGATTCACAGTTTTCTCAGATTGCATTACAGTTTCTTGTACAACAGGACCTCTTTTAAGGAACTCCTGTTCATTTCCACAAGTGTCCCGTTAGAGGACGCATGAGGTGGCCACCCTATTTCCCGTATCCCCTTCCTAGGACCCAGTTCCAGCTTTCTGAGCGATAGACCCATGTTCACGGGGGAAACAAGTCGGGCTGAAAGAAGGGGGCAGAGAGACATTCCCAATAAATAAGTCTCTGGGTCACTTCGCCCGTGACACTGGTGGCTGAGTCTCTGACGATCCTCCCGTGTGACCTGTTCTTTTTCTTCACAGGGCTTCACATTTGGCAAAGCTGGAGAGATCCTCACCAGGCGGCTGCGGTACCTGGTTTTCAGGTCCATGCTCAGACAGGTATGCCTGCTGAGGGCTGACCCAGGGACGTGTGGGACACCCTTTGAGTCCCAGCGCGGCTTCCGTGCTGCTTGTCCCTCAGTGTCATCTCCGGGATGGGGCTGAAGTCTGCGGTGTGTTTACTGCAGGGGAGCACACGGAACTGCTCTGCTTTGACATCCGTGCAGTCTGCTGACTGGATTTGCCCACAGCTTTTGTCTCCGCATTTATAGGGAGTGTAGGCAAAAGTGGCCTTCGTTGCCCCTTCTTTCCCTGCTGTCTTTCTTTCCTCCTCCCAGACCCCCAGGATCCTGCATCCTGTTTCTTACAAGTTGTACTGACTGTAATCTTCAGTTCTACAACTCCCACCTTACACCATGGCTCATTCCTCGCTTCCTCATGTCTGTGGATCTGTAGACAACACACTAACTCCAGCTGGAGTGTTCCTAGCTCACAGTGACTTCGTGGAATGTCTGCCACAAGCTGTTAAGTGGGAAGAGCATAGGAAGGCCTTCTGCGTGCCAGCAGTAGTACTGCTTGCCAGGCGTTCGCATCCGGATCGTGTGTGTCCTAGAGAGAGTTACTTTCCACTGGGGAGGAAATTAAGTACTTGGGAATACTAAGGGGCAAATTCATGAAGGCTACAAAAATGATAAGCTGCTGCGTTAATGCAAATCATCAGTGCAGGTAACCCACTGGAGATCGTAGGTATCTGTGAGAGATGCAACTCAGACTTCAGCTTCACTATTTTGTACATGTGTATTAAAAAATATAAACAGTTTTACAAATAATCCTCTTTAACGTTGAATGTCACATTTTGATCTAGAGGAGATTTAAATACGTTTTCAATTTATTTCTTCCACCTTGCACTACAGTTAATTTCTTGTTCACCTTCTTCATTTGGATGTGTAGGAAACGCCTCACAGTTTACCATTTTCCCCTTGAACTTTTCACTCTGTTCTCCCCTCTCTGCCCTTCTTTGTCCATATCAGTAATTGATGGCACCACTCTGCAGGTCACCCTGGCTGAAAACCTTGGTGACTCCTCTCTGTGCCTAACGTTGCAGCAGCCTCCTACCTGGTTCCATCATCCCAGCCTCATCCTAATTCAGTAGTTTCACTCGTAACAGGCAGGATTGTTCTGCTAAAATACAAGGTAAAGCACATCCGTGTGTCCCAAACCCGCCAGCTAGATGTATATTCCAAGGTGAAGACTGGAATCTTTAGTTATCTAAAGGCCGACGTGACGTGTCCCTCCCCTACTTCCCAAACCCCATCCCTGACAACTTCTGTTACACGGAAACCCTACATTGTATACCTTTGTCCCTCATGCAGTATATACGCCACTCTTTAGATCGTTGTATGAGCGAGAGAGAGTTACACGAGGACAAATCTTTGCAGAGGGAAAGGCATCTTTTACAAATACACAGAAAATTTGTTTTAGGTTCCTGGAGCCGGTAAGGGTTTCTTGCTAGTGTATGGACCGATTATGTGTGGCTTTGCCCAGGGCCTTCATGGTGTGTTTCATGCTTTCTTTGAATATACTCGTGCCGTCCTTCATTTAGGTCTCTGCTGAAATGTCACCACAGAGTGTGTTTCCATTCCCTCCTCAGTTTCTCCAACAGCATCTTCCCTCGCTTCTTTGTTCTTACCCTGCTGTATGTCTCTTTATAGCATTTTTACCACCTGAGCTGATCTATGTGTAGGTAATTATGCCTTCTCTCTATAAAACCTGGACTGTATGAATAAACAGCAAATTTACTGTTACTCTTCATTGTTCTGCCCAACATGTAGAAATCATGGTTGGGACAAAGAATTGTTTCACGAAATACATTTAAATAAATATTTGTGTTGTACCTATATATTTGGGCTGGGGATTTAGCTCAGTGGTGCCACTGACTGCCTTGCGAGCATAAGGTCCTTAGTTCCCACGTACCAAAAAAAAAATTCATGTAATTTTCATTACTGTAGGTTTGCGGTATTTAATGTGCATGTTAATCATGAGTAATTAGTATACATGGGTATTCCATCTTGATCCTTCCAGTTTACCCTTTCCTTCTCCTCTCTCCCATTTCCCCAGCCCACATCCTCTTCACATTTTCTCACCTGTTTCCTATTATCTACCTTTTCTTTGAAAAAAAATTTTTAATCTGTTTTCTTTTACTCTCTACATTATTTATACTGTAGGTGTCTCCTGTAAGAGAAATCATGGGATACTTAATTTTCTGTATTTGTATTTCATTTAGCATTATGGTCTCAAGGTGCATCCATTTTCCTACAGATTTATCTTTTTTTTTTCCTACAAGTTTATCCTTTTTAAATGCCTGTGTGTCCTCCACTGTGTATATGTTCTACACTTTCTTTATCCACTCTTCTGTTCATGTTTGGTTCCAATCTTACCTACTGTGTGTTCTGCTGTTGTAAACATGAGTATGCATGCATCATCATAGTCTGGTGTCTTTATACCAGAAGAGGCATATCTGGGTCCAGTGGAATTTCTATCTTTAGTTTTTTGAGGAATCTCCATAGTGATTTCCATAGTGGTTATAATAGTTTACAATCTTATAAACAATGGCGAAGTATTCCTTTGTTCCCCCACAAAAGTAGCAGCATTTGTTGTTTTCTGAGTTCTTGGTATGCATTCTTACTGGAGTAAGATTGTTTTGATTTGCATTTCTCTATTGGCTAAAGTTGCTGAACATTTTTAATGTTATTTATTGGCCATTTATACTTCTTCTGTTTCTGTTGCCCATTTTTTTGATCAGGTCTTTCATTTCAAGGGTTTAATATTGTGTGTATTCTCTATGTATTTTAGTCCCCTGTCTAAGGAGTAGCTGGAAAAATATTTCCCAGTCACTGTCTGTAAACTCTGTTTTTTGTTTTTTTGTTTTTTTGTTTTTTTTTTTTTTGCTTTTGAGACAGGGTCTCACTATGTAGTTGAGACTGCCCTGGAACTCACTATGTAGCACACGCTGGTCTTAAACTCACAGTGATCCTCCTGCCTCAGCCTTCAGAACGTTGGTATTACAGGTTGGTAACACCACACTGGGCTTGTTAATTGTTTCCATTGCTGTACGGAAGACTTTAAATGGAATTTAGCAGTCTTTGTTGATTGTGTTATTTCTTGTACAAAGGGGTTCTTTTCAGAAACTTCCTGTCTATGCCATGTCTCCAAGTTTACCGTCCAACAGATTAATCCAACAATGGGATTTTCTTCCAACATATTTCTGTTTTTATGTCTAGGTCTTTGATCCATTTTGATTTGATTTTACTACAGGGGAGCAATAGGGGTCTAGAGTCACTCTTCTGCACATGGAGACCACTTTTTCCAGCACAATTTGCTAAAAGGATATTCTCCCGAACATGTTTTTGTCCCCTTTTAAAGATCAGATGGCTGGAAGTTCCTGGTGTGTTATTGCATCTTCTGTTATGTTCCATTGACCCACATATCTATGGTTTTTTGCTAGTACCCACTCCCCCCCTTATTTTTTAGTCATAGTAGCTTTGTAATACAGCTTAAGATCTGGGATTCTGATGCCTCCTGCTTTGCCCTTGTTGCTCAGGATTGCTGTTGCTATTCTGGGTATTCTCTAGTTCTATATAAATTTTAAGAGTGTTTTCTCTAGTTCTGTGAGGAATGCTGTTGTTATTTTAATTGGGATTGTGTTAACGTTTTGACAGTATTGGTCTTGTGTCTTTCTGTTTTCTGATCTCCTCCTCATTCTCTTTTTTCAGTGTAGTATATAGTTTGTGTTACAGAGGTCTTTCACTTCCTCGGTTAGGGTAATTCTTGGTGTTTAATTTTTCTTGGGCCTATTGAAAATGGGATTGTTTTCCTGATTTCTCTCTTTCATTGTTTATGTACAGCAATGTTAATTGATTTTTGTGTATCGATTTTATGTACTGCTACTTACTGAATTTGTTAGTTCTAAGAGTCTGTTGGTGAAGTTTTTTGGGTCTTCTATAGAAAGGATCGTGTTACCTCCAAATAATTGTTTGACTTCTTCCCTTCCCACACATATCCTTTTAATTTCTTTATCTTCCTTAATTTGTTTGCATGAATTCTCAAGAAATATATTGAACAGGAGTGGTGAGAAGACCCCTTTATCTTGTTCCTGATTTCAGGGGTGATTGTTGTCATCAGGGATGCGAAGGACAGCCAGACAGTAGGAATGTAGTTTTGCTGGGGAGTAGAGGGACTGACGTTCTCACAGGGAAACAGCAGCCAACTCTCACCAACGCCAGTCTTTATTAGGTACATGCACAATATTTCCATGAGAATAAGCAGTTAGTTCTTTACAGATTATCTCTAGCGAAGCATTAGAAAGTATTTTTTATGAACACCTGGTTCTAGTTATTCGTATACTTTCTCAAAACAGACACTGTTCCCAGAAGGTTATCGGATGGTTCTCTAGACTGTTTGCAGCCTTGAACTTCTGAGTTGTGGCTCCGTGTGCAGAACCACAACTGCAGTTCCTCTTCCAATCCATGTCCCCTGTAACCTTCTCCTCTGAAAGAGATGATTTCCATTTTTCTCTTTTTGTTAATTTAAAATTTTTATTAGAGATGCACGACCATCAATCCCCCTCAAAATATCCTCACTTTGGACACAGTTATTCCACTAGTCTGCCTAATGCAGAAGTTTTAAACTTTTAGGCCTTCAGGCCTTAAGAATTCTCACAGGCCCTTATTTTGTTCCTATTTTCCCAGATACAGGCAGATCCACAACTGTTCCCAACAAGTGTTACTTTCTTAATCACAGTGTAAGCCACTATAAATATGTTTTTTTCACAATATATATTGTGTACTTTAGTATTTACGGTAGTATTCACAATATATACTGTTATGTCCTCCCTGTTAGCCTTGAAAATGGATCTGGTTGTCCTCCACCTTCATAATGTGTATCCTGTTGTGTTAGGTATCCTTTTCCTAAAGGCAGCCCCACCCTCAAGGCTGTTACATTATCACTCATCCCAAGCCCACCGCAACTTAAATTACGGTATAAAACATTCCCATTTTAAAACTCTTATTAATTTTATCACTACATTAATGTGTACAATATAATGACATTCATTGTTGGAAATTTGTACCTTTACATAATCAATCTTGGTTCTTATTTTTCCTCATCCGCCTGCCCTCCCTTCAACCCCTCCCTTCCTTCCAATCTGTAAGACTTTGTTTGCATTATTTTTTATTTTCTCATTGATTCCATTCCATTCTTTCCTTTACACTTCCCCTCCTGTTTCCCTTTCTTCTTTGTCTCTTTTCTTCCTACTTCACATTATCTATCATGCCTTTTAGTCCTTATTTACATGTTTAGTTTCTAACACTGGAGAAACTGTTCGGTATTTATACATGTGTGTCCTATTTATACCACTTAAGAGTATCACCTCAATGTTCATCTATTTAGCTATAAATATCTCTAGTTTCTCATTTTCTATGGCTGAGTAGTATTCCATTATAGAAAACACATTTTCTTCATCCAGCCTCCAGTGGATGGTCAGCTGGGTTGCTTCCAAGTTTTAGCTATTCCAAATTGAGCTGCTATGAACGTGGATGCACATATATCACTGCGGTGTATCTCTCACCATGCACCAGACCAAAATCAAAATGGATCAAAGTATTAAACAGTATTAAAACAGAAACACCAAACTGGCTGGAAGAGAGGTTAGGTAGAACTCTTGAAGACATTGGTGTAGGAAAAGATTTTATGAACAAAACCTCTTGCCTGTGAGCTAGCGCAATCAACCAATGGGATCTCTTCTTACTAAAAAACTCCTGCACAGCAAGAGAAATTACAAATAGTGTGAAGAGACAACCCACAATGTGGGAAAAAATTTTCACCACCTGTTCTTTAGACAAACGTCCACTATCCAGAATATACAAAGAACTCAAAAAAGAATCAGACCTCTCAAATTTAAAAACCCAATCCAAAAATGGGCATCTGAAGTGAACAGACACCTCTCAGAAAAAGAAGTAGAAACAGCAAAGAAACATCAAAAGATGTTCAACATCACTGGTCATTCCAGAGACACAAATGAAAATAGCGCCGAGGTTCCACTTCACCCCAGAAAGAATGGCTGCCATCGCAAAATCAACCAGCAACAAATGCTGTTGGGGCCGCGGGAAAGGAGGAGCCCTGCTCCACGGCTGGTGGGAGTGCAGACCACTGTGGAAAGTTTTACCTCATTGAACCAGGAGCGGAAGTCCCGTTTGACCCAGCCATTCCCCTGCTGGGTATGCTCCCTAAAGAATCTAAACTACCCCACTTTTAGATTTCAGGGTCCAGGTCTTCACGGAGCACTTAGCTCCACTGGGCCGGCCCCGCATAAAGCTTTCCTCCATCTCTCTTGAGTGGGCTTGTCTTTCCCGGTCCAGATTTCCTACAGCATCGCCACTTTCTGAAGCAATTCTGGGAGAAATGAGTGAAACAAAGATGAAGTTTACTTTTCAGTGCCATCTGTACTTCATGACCAGCCCGTCATTCCTGAGAAGGTACCGGTGGGCTCCCGCGAGCGCATGCGAGGCAGCGCCAGCACCTGGCTGGGCTCCGAGGCGGCAGGACTTCCCGGAGCCCGGCGTAAAAGCCCATGCGGGCCGCGTCCAGTCCCCGAAGGCCCTGTGCCCTTCCGGGTGGGCGCGGACCGGGCAGCCTCTCCGCCGGGTGGGCAGGTGGAGCACAGCGAGGGTTCCCTATTTGGCTGAACTGGGTCTGGCAGGACCGGCTCTGGCAGGTCTCTGCTTGGCAGAGGCACAGTGCAGGCCTGGAACCTCCCGCCCAGGTGCACTCTGGTCAGACTACTGCAGTCGCAGGCTGCGGCCACGACTGTCCCTCCATTTTTGTTATCCTTTTAGTGTGACGTTGCCCGTGGTTTTGTCAGAAATGACCTACCACGTTGACACAGGTTCTTTCTGTGCCTATTTTCATCAGCGCTTTTAGCATGATGAAATGTGTTTTTGTCCAGGACATTTTCTGCATTCCTGAATATGTGATTTTTGTCCCTGTTTCTGTTTATGTGATGTTTTGTATTTATTGATGCATTTTTGAATCAGTGGGGCGAAGCATCTTTGTCATGATATGTGATCTTTTTAATGATTTGCTTTTTTTTTTTTTTTTTTTTTTTTTTTTTGTACCTGGTACTGAACTCGGGTCCTTGTGCTTGTGAGGCAGGCAGTGGAACCACTGAGCTAAATCCCCGGCGTTGCAGGTGTCTTGTTTAGGAGTTTTGCATCTGTGTTCTTTAGAGAAACTGGGCTGTAGTTTTCTTTTGTTGTGAAAACATTCTCTGCTTTTGGCATCTGGGCAGTCTTGGTTCCAGCAATGAGTTTGGTGCTCCTTCTCTTTGGCCTTAGATGTTCCCTATCTTTTTGGTAGAAGTCGGCAGTGAATCCATCAGATCCTCGGCTTTTCTTAGTCAGTAGGGTTTTTATTACCACCTCTATTTTATTGCCCATTATTTGTCTGTTCAGGTGATGTATATCTTCTTGGTTCAATTTTGGTAATTTATATGGACCTTCTAAGTTCTCCCATATATTAGAATATAAGTTTTCAGAATAGTTTCCTATGGTCCTCTGGATTTAAGTGGTGTCCAGTTTAATTTCACTTTCATTTCTCTTTGCTTGGATAAGGGGTTTTCCTTTCATTTTTCTTTTAGTAAGTTTACCTAAGGGTTCATCAGTCTTGTCTATTAATTTCTGTTCTGATCATCATTTCTTCCCTTCCACTACTTTTTTTTTTTACTTGTATTGTTCTTCTCTTTCTAGGACAGTGGGATAGATACATCATTAGGCTATGCGTTTGGAATTGCTGTATTCTTTCAATGGAGATATTCACAGCCATAAACTTCCCTGTAACTAATGCTTTCATTGTGTCCCATAGATTTTGATTTGTTTTACTTCTTATTTTGGTATGTTTTTATTCTTACTTGATTCAAGGAATTTTTTTCCCCTATTTGCTTCTGTGACCCACTGATTATTAATAATGTATTATTTAATGTGTTTGTGCTATTTCTGTGGGTTTTTTCATTTTTTTTTTTTTTTTTACTCTTGAGGTCTGGTTTCATTTCACTATGATCCAGTTGCAAAAAGGGGATTATTACAATTCTTTTGTATTTATTTTACCATGCTTCAAGGTCTAAGATATTTTCTATTTTTGAAAAAACTTTCATGTCCTGCTGAGAAAGATGTAGATTCTGTTTTTGTTGGATAAACCACTCTGTAGATACCTGTTGAAGTTTTTGAATCAGTGGTGCAATTTAACTCTGATATTTCTTTGTTGATTTTTTTGTGCAGCTGACCCATCTGTTTGTGAGACTTGGGTATTGAAAACTCTTCCACCATGATGTCATTGGTGTCCATTTGTCCATTTATGTCCAGTACTTTTTGTTTTATGATATGTGTGCCAACATCCGGTAACCATATAATTATAATGTTATCTCTTCCCATTGAATTATTCCCTTCACAAGTGTGTAGTATCCATTTTTGTCTCTTCTGACCGAGACAACATTTGCAAGATGAAAAAAAGAACATTGATGCCTTGTGTATTAATTCTCTTTGTAGTGTATGAAACAGCAAATCCTGTATGTCAAATGCAGGCAATATAAGTGATAAGCAAACGTGACTGTGCCAGTTTCCTCCTGGAGCTGTGAGTCTCATGAATGGAATTTTAATATAAAATCTCTCTTGTGCCACAGGATGTGGGCTGGTTCGACGACCCTAACAATACCACTGGAGCATTGACTACAAGGCTCGCCAATGATGCTGCTCAAGTGAAAGGGGTACGTGCCTCCTTCCTGCTAGTGACTGTATTAATTTCCATTTGAACGTCAGCACGGCATTGGTCTTATCATTACAGGTGTTATTTGTTATCATTGAGAAAATAGACATCAAAACCATCAGTGTATGAAAATGAATGACAAGAATGTTTTCCAACCATTAAATATTATACATTGTTACTTGTACACTTTCTTTCCTCACTGTTGAGTTATTCGTACTACTAAGACAATGTATGAAAAAGAGCATGTTTTCAGTAAGGAAGGATTTTCAGCATGTGATTCAGGATCATTGTATTAGTGCTCAATCAATAGAAAATTGTAATCGCTGCTGAAAGAAGGATGTGTGTTGTTGCTGCTGAAAAATTTAAGTCCAAAACGAAGAAGAAAAATATTCCTAAAAATAGCTTCAAACAAATGAAAAGCACATTACATACAAAAGCAAGTGTAGGAGAAATAATCAAATAATCAAATGATTGGATTTTCATTTTTAGGTAATGTGACCATTTCTTCTACAATTATAAATATTCATGGCTATAATCTATAAAATGATGTGAAACTTGGCATAACAGTGTGACTTAATGTTGTCTTCCCCCAGGATGACCTGAGTCAATCTCTGTATTTTCAGTGCCCTGTGAGGCAACATTATATTGACATTACATTTTGAATGTGGGAACACAAAGAGAGCTGCACACTTGGAATATAAGTGTTAAGAAGCAAACACATTAACGAAAATCAAGATTTAGATCAAGCTGTATAAAAATGAATACAACACAGTAGACTCTGCTTGAAATCACTTTGAACTCTCTAGGAAAGCTAACAGTTTTACCCTGAGAAAGTCTACCTGTTTTTCCAGATTGCCAAAAAAAAAAACAAAAAAAAAGCTCTGGAAAAAGGTGTGGGGTCGAGGCTGGGTGGTTGTTGTTGAGGAAGAGAGGCCACACTGCAGGGTGATGCAGGACCGAGGCCTGAGAGAGGACAGGTGCCATCTCGGCGTGTTCCTGGAGAAGATCAGCAGGTGCAGAAGCCTGAGGCTGGAGCACCCTCGCATTGGTTTCCACACAGAGCGGGCAGAGTACAGTGAGTGAAGACAAAAGCGTCGTAACGATCCTTGGCAGTATTGTGTCTGGAATTGGGTGGTGGGCCACTGTAGGTTTTGACCAAGGGAATGGCATATCTGCGATTTTGTAAGGACCACTCTGACTGCTGTGTGAAGATGCTGAGGGAGACATCGATATAGGCAGGGAGTTCATTACAGGAGACGGATGATGTGGGGTTAGACTGGGCATCTTACATGTAGTTAATTCTGGATGTAGTTTAAAGCTGCAGCCTATAGAATTTCTTGGATGGATTAGATAAGGGATGAGAGAACAGGGATTTAACGATGATTCTAAAATTTTTGACTGGCACACTGAAAAAGGAGAATTGAACCGCTGAGCTAACTCCCTGGCCCTGGAATTGACTTTTGATGACATTGCGAAGCCCCTTGGATCAGTAAGTTTGAGAGAGACTTAACATTCTCAGTGGGACATGGTCAGTTTGTGACGCTCACAGTAGAAATCGCCAAGGAGACAGACGTCAAAGATGCGAGTGTTTTTGTGTGTCTGGAGAAGTCGTACCAGAGAAGTGCTGCCTGGAAATGCAGTGTACATTTGGAGATTTTTCAGGGCACTGCTGGCTTTTAAATCCACAACACAGGATGGGACACCGAGCGTGTGTGGGTAACAAGCCTTGAGTCCAAAGCCTCGTCCTGAGAAAGAAACAGCAAAGAACGGTGCGAAGGAGTCGCCAATGAGGGAGGAAGGAAGTGTCCTGGGAAGTAGTTTAAAGGGAGCAAACTGGGAGACCAGACACGGAAGATAAGCTTGTAAGACGCTTGAACAGTTCACATGCTGCAGTGGCTTGGCAGTGCTTACAATTCCAACAAGAGCAGTTTCTGGTGCGTGCTGGGAAAAAAAGCTTGGTGGAAGGAGGCTCAAAGGATGGGACGAGAAAGAAGGCACAGCTGGACCCAGGGTGCACAGACTGGTAAATGAGGCAGAGGAATGAGGTGGTTCGTGGAGGACGACAGGAAAGTATTAACTTGTATTCTAATTACTTAGAGCATCAGTAAATGATGTCAGGGGAAGCCCATTTCGCTAGGGTGGTGACCACTGTGGTTAAGTTCAGTCTTCCAGGCTCCTAAGGCCTGTATTCACTAAGCTTTGCTGCCCTACCTTTCGGGTGTGCATCGGCACCCTGCCGTGTACGTCCGTGTGCTGTGACAGACACAGACAGCCCCACGTCCCGTATGGTGTGCTGGACACAGCCCTACGCGGGATATGAACTCAGCTCCTTGCAGCAGAACTCTGAACAGACGATGTGGCTTGTTGCTCTGTGTCCCCGCACTTCTCCCACTTGCTGAGTTGCTCTGGAGTTAAGACTTGTCTCACGCGACAGCACTGTCCTGTGCCTGTCATTTTTGTGGAGTCTTTTCTCTCCACAGTGTCATGGTGAAGCCCTTTACCCTGTCCTTTTCTTGTTTTGTATTTGGTACCGGGGATTGAACTTGGGTCCTTGTGCTTGAGAAGCAGGCGGCAGAGCCACTGAGCTAAATCCCCGGCGCCATACAGTGTTTAAAATTATATGTCTGATTTATTTCACTCAACACTTTATTTTTTAAATACATCCATTTTTCTACAAATGTCTTAAGTTTATAGCTGAGTAGGATTCCATTAGATACAGTTGCCACATTTTCCTTATCCAGTCATCTTTGGTTGGCTATATGGGCCTCTTCCAACATTGGGTCATTATAAATAGTGCTGCTATAAACGTGCGTGTGATTTATCACTATAATATGTACATCTTGAATTCTTTCAGGAAGATCAGTAGAAAGGGCGTAACTGGGTCAAATGGAACTTCTAGTTTTAGTTCTTGTGTGATCCACTCTGAGGCAGCACTGTTTCCCAGAACGTACAACGGTGGCCAAAGTATTAATGAGGTCAAACAGGTCGGTGACAGTCATTGAACTAGGAGATCCTAGTCTTGTTATCACAGATTGTCAGAGAGGACAGGTACACCCTGGTGATGCCACTGGCCAGGCTGTTTATACTGAGGGATAAATGGCTGTGTGTATGTGTGTAAATAGCGTGGGCATTTGGTGTGCATGTGTGGAATTAGCAGGGACATGTGTTCCCGTCTACACTGATGTGGACACATAGCTGTATGTACTTTTGTGTCTGCTGAATTCCACAGTGCGAGATAATGTGATTATCTTTTTACATAAACATTTAAATGCTGGCCATGCTGTCAGGAATTTGTGCTCCCCGTGGCAGGTTCACATCAAATTTGTTTACTTAGTGATATTTGTGTGTCTAGGTTAATCATCTGTTCAAATTTAATTTTCGCTTCAATGAAACCTCTTCTCAGATGGATTTGAAAATTATTGGAGTGTCTTAATTCTCCTAACCATAAACCAGAATAAAATATAACTCAATATAATATCCTGTGTTACCTTGGTCCCTTTAATTTCACTTGATCCATGGTCCAGATTTCTGCACAGCGGAAGACAAGGTGAGCCTTATACAAATCAAAAGCAGCTGGGTTTTTTAATTATTTTTTTCTGTGAAACAAAGCTGAGGTTTTGGTGAGTTTTAATATCATAGATATTCCTAAATTCAAAAGGAAGTTCCTGATGTAGGCTTTTAATCCAATTTGCTGAAATACTTTTGAATTATAGTTTCATTGCTGTGATGGTGTTTCGAGGTAGAAATAACAGGAGAGAAAGGCATGGGAGAAGTGATCGGTCCTCAGAGCCTTGTAGGAATAGATGTGAGACAGTGAGCGTCAGGCTTTAGAATCAGCAGTGGTCAGCAATGCAGTGTCAGTGAAAACGTAAGGCATTGATCTCCTGCGGCATGTAGTCCCACATATTTTAAGTTGCTTTCTTGGACATTAAGAGGAAGCAATCATCTTTCACCTATCTTAACTTCTCTGGTCCTTGACTACCATCCAGAGCTCGACATGTGTATGCATGAAGGTTAGCGGTAGGAAACGAATTAGGACACAGACTTGCAGAACCTGAGAACAGGAGCAGCCTGTACCATCCCTGCGGTGCACATTCTCCAAGCTGCATCCTCTGACCTTCACATGGAAAAGGTGCAGGTCAGAGAGATGGCGCTGAAGATCATTGTACTCTGGCCCGTGCCCAATTTCAAAAGTAACCCTTCAATGAAGCTCAGTAATTCTGTCCGATAAAAATAAATGTGCTTGATTATTTTTGCTCTCAGCCATGGTGCAGTTGCATTGTTGTGGAGTTTAATGTATATAAAGGACTATTTTAATATAGTGATTATGTCAGAAAGATACTATGTGACTTTGGGCAGCATTGATGTGGAGAGTCATGAAGGATTCTTCCCCGGAGTTCATAGTAGGTATCTTTGATTGTTAGTGTATTTCCTGACATTCTTACTTGGGCAACATTTGTTCAATGTCATGGTCATGAGACTGGCTGTCCTAGAGTGCAATCCATCATGTTAATCTGAGACCAGCTCCCCTTGAGCAGAAGAAATTTGGGGGCTGGGGACACAGGAGCCTGGGCCATTTCCAGATAAAGCAGGCCTTGGGCTAAGGCAGAATTGTGGTGGCTTGAGGGCAGTATTTTCACAGTAGAAGGGATGTACTAGACTAAAATGCAGAGTGGTGGATGGAACTGGCTTTATAGATTGATTCCTGGTTTTTAAAAATTGTTTTATGCAGTTGCCTTTCATTTTTACCATGTTTACAGTGATGACCCTTCGCTGTGAGGCATTTGTACAAGCGCGTAGCACATCTTACTTCTTTTTTCATCCCTTTGACCTCCACTCTTCCCCTCTCTTCATCTCTTGATCCCCTACCCATTCACCAAAGATTTTTCTGTTTCCTATTATCTCTCCCTTACTTTGCTGTTTCATTTATTTATACCTTGGGAAACTGTGATGTTGAAGCTTCTGTGTCTGATTTATTTCATTTAACGTTACGGCCTCAAGGTGCATCCGTTTTCCTAGAGATGATGTCAGACTTTAAAGTTGACGGTCCACTGCTAAAGGACATGGTCAGACTCCCTCTGGCGTTCAACCTGAAGTTTCTACATTAAATTTGATAATTTTAATCATCTGTATTCATCCCAAGTCCATTTGAGGTTAAATTAAACTTAGGAAGCATTTCAAATATGCCCCAATATATTTGAATATCCTTAATGGAACCTTGTAGCCTTAAATTATAAATAGTTGTGTGTCAAATACTGGAAATTTCCACTGTTTTGTGGTAGAAATTAATATATTAATGTTATGTCACTATAATAGACACTGATGTTTTTGACTGACAGAAGAGAGAAATGTACAGTGAATTGGGTTATTATCTTCCACTTTCAGTGTCATTTAGAAATCATGGAGATTCTCACTTCAGAAACCCAGTAAATGGGGCCAGGTACTTAGCTCAGTGGCACCATGCATGCCTTGCAGACTCAAGGCCATGAACTAAATCCATGTCTCTCTCTCACACACACACACACAACACTAAACTTCAAGTAAATCTTCACTTTTATTTTACAACTGAGATGATAATTGATAGCTTTTCAGAAAAAGTGAATTACCATCATCCTCAAGAATATATTAGGATGTTTTTTAAATTTAATATAAAGTGTGTTTCTAATCTGTTTTGTTTTTCAGGCTATAGGTTCCAGGCTGGCTGTAGTTGCCCAGAATGTAGCAAATCTTGGGACAGGAATTATTATTTCCTTCATCTATGGATGGCAGTTGACACTTTTACTCTTGGCCATTATACCCATCATTGCCATAGCGGGAGTTGTTGAGATGAAAATGTTGTCTGGGAATGCACTCAAAGATAAGAAATTGCTGGAAGTTTCTGGGAAGGTGAGGCCAACAAAGTCTAATTGTTACATAAGCAAAGAAAAATATGCCAGGAAACATTTGAAGTTATCTTTGAATTTAGATAATTTGTGTATGTGTTGGTGACAACTTTGTGTTGCACACTTGTGATTTCTAAGGTGTAATTACTTGTATGGGATGTATCTTTAGAGAATCAGTTCTGAGCAGTGCAAAAGGAAGAATATCTGAAACAGTGTCAGTATTGTCTCCGGATGACCTATGAAGAAAAGAGTTCCAGGAGTGCTGAGACCCTCTGGGCCATCCTGCTCCTCACTGACAGATGAGGACAAGGACACAAGTTCAAGGCCCCAGCGTGACAGCTGATGTCACATTCAGATGCTACCATTCTCTCTGCTCTCCCTCCATGCCCAGTAGCAGACTTTGAAATGTGGGAACAGTGATTTGTCCCAGCCCAGTAGATTTCTTGGAAGTAACCTGCAAGTGGGACAATTGAACAAAATAAAAATAAATAGGTCTGGAGCTGTAGCTCACTGGTACAGCCCTCACCTAGCACGGATGAGGGACAGAGTTCATTCACAGAAATACACACACACATGCATGCACATAGTCATATACAAGTGTGACGTGTACACTTTGGGGAAAAATATACATGGGCTAATGTGTAAATACACCTATATGTAAATTGTTGCTTTATCAAAAACATAAGTTGTCAACATTTTCCAAATATTTTGAGTTCTGAATAGCAATTACAAAGATAAAATATAATCACATTACAAAATATGTAAAATAACTATACTGTCTACTTACAATGTGACCATTGTGGAAGAAGGAACACTGCAAATGGTGTAAAATACTGAGTCCCCAGGTAAATCCTGTAAAGTTATATGCCGTTAGGCGAGGGCCTCCATCCCTGTAAGCCTTGGCTTCTTTGTACAAAGAGCAAAAGCTTAAACTCGTTGATCTCCCTTCAGTTTGGTAAGTCACTTTATATGTTTTTGCATGAAGACAATACATATAGGTACCAGTAAGTGAAAAATAAAGAATGTGTGATCATAAAACCAGTCTTACCCACCTGTTTTACAGAATTAAAACTAATTGCCCTGTTTGCCCTTGTGCCTCATGGCGATGTCTGTTACAGATCGCGACTGAGGCAATAGAAAACTTCCGAACTGTCGTGTCCCTGACCCGGGAGGAGAAGTTTGAACACATGTATGGGCAGAGCCTGCAGATATCATACAGGTAAAACCACTGGAGATGGGAGTTGTTTTTGGAAGGATGACTTTGCCCTGAAGGTAGGGTGCAAGTGGGCAGTACTTGTAATTAACCAGGAAAAAGTGTTGCGACTCTGCTGAGTTAGGGGCACCTCTGAGGCAGGACCTGCAACAGCAGCGGGATGCGGGGTGGGGGAAGAGGATGTGGATCCTCCCCGAGGTGCAGCTTTGATTGTGACCCTATTCTGGTTGGGGAACGCAGGCTGTGTGGCTCATGCAGGTGGAACTCTGTGCACCCTGGGAAGTGGTGCATCTCGGGTGTTCATGGCATAACTTCCTTCCTTCCCCTGTGGTGGAGGCCTTCAGTTCGCCCTGTAACACCACCAACCCGGGAGGGCTTCAGCCAGTGGTGTGAATGCCAGCAAGCCTGGGTCTCTAAGGCTCAGTTTCTTTCCTTGCAAAAGGAGATAGCTGAACCTTAATGACTGGTTTTCTTTTTTGCTGATTCCACTACTATTTTTTTTTTTCACTAGGTATACAGTACAGTTACATTCATCATTGGGATCTTGTACCTTTACATGACAGGTCTTGGTTCTCATTTTTTCCCCTTGTCCCTGCCCTCCCTTCACCCCACCTCCCCAATTACAAACATTTTATGAAAAAATGGAAACAAAATGCTTAATGATTGGTTTTCCCACTTTCCCTTTCTTTAGTGGTAGTAGGGCTTTTATTTTTTCTGAAAAACTTTTCATTTGGAATCCAAACATATGACAGATAAAAATAAAGTTGCTATGGTATGAAGCGTGAGTCTGAACCCCAGGCTGCCTGATTCCCAGCATGTTCCTACACACACTTCCATGTCGCAGAGTTCCGTGTCCCTCAGAAAACCTAGTCTCAGTTCTTCTGCGATGCCTTCAGTAAGTCCCCCGGAGAATCGAGGGTCTCCTCTTGCTTCCCATGTTTATTCATAATTGCTGTACCTCCATTGCATCAACAGATACCCGGCCAAACGGCTGGGTCCCCAAAGGCAGGGATGTCCGTATGCCCCTGTGTCACACCACGTGGTACCTGCAGTTCACAGGTGCTGGGTAGATGTCGCGGAGGGAATGTTGAGTATAGGGGAACAGATGTTAAATTTTGAATACTTTGAAAAAAGGGAGAGGGCTTTCATTTATTAATTTCCATAGTTTCTATTCGAATTTTTTAAGCTTAATACTTCAGTATATCAATACACAGAGGTATAGTTCATCCTTCTTAAAGTTGAAGATAGGCTTAGAGATGAAGCATATGACTAAATTCACACAACTGGAGAGTAAAATGAACAGGAAACAATTCTGTGGAGATTAATTAAACCTGTTACTGTCTGTCAGTTCTATGGTCCACTGTCAACCGAAGAAAAGTTATATTTTAAGGACTGAGAAATGAAAGCACAATAAGCTCTTCAATATATTCCTTTCAGAAACTCTGTGAAGAAAGCACACATCTTTGGAATCACATTTTCCTTCACCCAGTCAATGATGTATTTTACCTATGCTGGTTGTTACCGATTTGGTGCCTTCTTGGTGGTCCATGATTTCATGACTTTTGAAAATGTTGTGTTGTAAGTATTGGGTTAATTTTATTTTCCTATTTTTTTATTGAGTTCATTGATACATTTTAGGTATACAGTATAGTTACATTCCTTATTGGGATCTTGTACCTTTACATGACAGGTCTTGGTTCTCATTTTTTCACCTTGTCCCTGCCCTCCCTTCACCCCCTCTTGTCCTCCCCATTTATAAACACTTTATTTCCATTTTTTCATTTTCTCCTATTTTTTTCTTTTCCCTTATTATCTTCCCCCTACCCTTCCACTTTCCCTACACCTTTAGCCCTTTTCTTCCTATTTCACATTGTCAATTATATCATTAGGATCTTATGTACTATCTTAATTTTTCACACCAGAGAAATTATTTGGTATTTACACAAGTATGACTTACTTATTTCACTTAGGAGTATATCCTCAATATGTACACATTTTCCTATGAATGAATCTAATTTATCATTCTTTATGGCTCAGTAGTATTCCATTTGTAAAACCACATCTTCTTTATCCTTTCTCCAACTGATGGGCAAATGGGCTGTTTCTAAGTTTTAGCTATTACAAACTGTGCCACTGTAAACACAGGTGTGCATATATCACTGTGATATGATTCCTTTAATTCTTTTGGAAAGATACCCAGCAGAGGGATGGCTGGGTCAAATGGAACCTCAAGTCCTACCTCTCTTAGGTATCTCCATATTGAATTCCATAGTTGTTGCACCAGTCTGGACTCCCAACAACAATGGAGAAGGGTTCCTTTCTCCCCACAGCACCGCCAACATTTGTTATTGGTTGATTTCTTGATAGCAGCCATTCTTTGTGGGGTGAAATGGAATCTCAGTGTTGTTTTCATCTGCATCTCTCAAATGACTGGTGATTTGGAACATTTTTTCAGATATTTACTTGCTGCTCTTATTTCTTTGTCTGAGAAATGTCTGTTCATTTCAGATGTCCATTTTTTAAATGGGTCTTCATATTTGGGGGGCTGATTTTTTTGAGTTCTTTATATATTCTAGATAATAGTCCCTTGTCTGAGCAGCAGCTGGTAAAATTTTTTTCCCACATTGTAGGTTGTCTTAGTTCTGTTGATGGTTTCTTTTGCAGTGCAGAAGCAGAAGCTTTTTAATAGGATGAGATCCCAGTTGTTGATTCTTTCTGCTAGTTCCTGTGCTACTGAGGATTTGTTCATAAAGTCTTTTCCTATGACAGTGTCTTTCAAGAGTTCTGCCTAACTTATCTTCCAGCAAGATTAACTTCTGTTTTAATATTTAGATCTTTAATCTACTTGGATTTTAATTTAGTGCATAGTGAAAGATAAGGGTCCAGTTTTAATATTTCACATGTTAAGACTCAGTTTTTCCAGCACTATTTATTAAAGAGGCTATCTTTCATCCAGTGGGGATGGTCAGCTCCTATGTCAAAGATGAGGTAGCTGAGTACATCTGGAGTTGTTTTTGTGTCTTCCAATCTGTTCCACTGATCCTCAGGTCTGTTTCTTTGCCAGTACCATACTGTTTTTATCACAGTGGCTTTGTAGTATAGTTTCAAATTGGGAATTGTTATACCTGCTTCCATGTGTCTGTTGCCTAGGATAGCTTTTGCTATTCTAGGTCTCTTATGGTTCCAAATGAATGTTTGGATTCTTTTTCCTAGTTCTGTAAAATATAGTGTTGGAATTTCAATTGGCATTGCATTGAATCTGTATAGCAGTTTTGACAGTATGGCCATTTTCAAAATGTTGATTCTTCCTACCCAGGAGCAGGGGATATCTTTCCATTTTCTTATATCCTCTTCAGTATCTTTTTTCAGAGTCCTGTAGTTTTCAGTGTAGAGGCCTTTTGCTTCTTTTGTTAGATTGATTCCTAGATACTTCATTTTTTGGATGCTATTGTAAAATGAGTTGTTTCCCTAATTTCTCTCTCAGCGAGTCTGTTATTTGGTACAAGAAGGCTACTGATTTTTGGGTATTCACTTTGTATCCATCTACTCTACTGAATCTGTCAATTAAGTTTAGAAGTCTTTTGGTAGAATTTTTTGGGTCTTCAATGTAGAGTATCATATTGTCAGCAAATAATGACAGTTTAACTTCTTCCTTTCCTATCTTTATTGCTTTAATTTCTTTTTCTTGTCTAATTGCTATGGCTAATGCTTCCAGAACTATATTGAAGAGGAGTGGTGATACTGGGCATCCTTGTCTTGTTCCTGATTTTAACATGAAGGTTTTCAGTTTTTGGCCATTTAATGTGATGTTGGCTGTTGGTTTTTCATAGATAGCCTTTATTAAGTTGAGATATAGACCATCTATTCCAAGTTTTTGCAGGTTTTTTATCATGAATGGGTGTTGAATTTTGTCAAATGCTTTTTCTGCATCTATTGAGAGGATCATATGGTTTTTGTCCTTGACTTTAATATAGTGTATAACATTTATTGAATTACATATGTGGAACCATCCTTGCTTCCCTGGAAGAAATCCGACTTGGTGAGGATGTATGATCTTCTTGATGATCCTCTGAATTCTGTTTGCTAGTATCTTATTAAGGATTTTTGCATCTATTTTCATTAAGGAGATTGGCTTACAGTCATGTTTTTTAGTGGCATGTTTCCCTTGTTTGGGAATCAAAGTGATAGTTGCTTCCAGGAATGAATTTGGAAGTATACCTTCCCTTTCAATTTCATTGAAAAGTTTGAAGAGTAAAGACAGTAGTTCTCTAAATGCCTTTCAAAATTCAGTGAATCCATCAGGGCCTGGGCTTGTCTTTGTTGGTAAATTTTTCATTACATTTTCAATTTCACTGACTGTAATTGGGGTGTTTAAATATTTTTATCTTCTTTGTTCAACTTCAGTAATTCATAAGTATCTAAAAATGTCTCCATTTCTTATGTGTTTTCCAATTTATTGGAGTACAGGTTTTCAAAGTAGGTATTAATGATCCTCTGGATTTCTGTTGGATCTGTTGTGACTTTGCCTTTTTCTTTCCTGATTGCATGGATCTGAGCCTTTTCTTTCCCTTTTTTTTTTTATAACGTTAGCTAAGGGTTTATTGATTTTATTTATTCTTTCAAAAAACCAACTCTTTGATTCATTTATTTTTTGTATCATTTTTTTAGTTTCCATTGGATTGATTTCTGCTCTAATCTGTACAATTTCCTCTCTTCTTCAAGCTTTGGGTTTTTCTTGCTCTTGTTTTTCTAGGAATCTAAGATTCATCATTGGGTTTTTTATTTGAGCTCGCTGTTTTCCTAGTGTGGGCATTCAGTGCTATGAATTTTCCATGTAGAACTGCTTTCAATGTGTCCCATAGATTCGTATATGTTGGAATGGCATTTTTGTTTATTTGTAAATTGTCTGATTTCTTTAATTTCCTCTGTGATCCATTGATTGTTCAGGAGAATGTTGTTCAATTTCCATGTGTTTGTGAAGTTCCTACAGTTTCTTATGCTGTTGATCTCCAGCTTAATTGCACTATGATCTGATCATATACAGGGCACAACTTTGATTCTTTTGCATTTATTCAAATCTGTTCTGTGAGCTAGTATGCAGTCTGTCTTGGAGAATGACTCATGTGCAGCTGAAAAGAACGTATATTCTGATTTTGTGGGGTGGAACACTCTATAGACATATAATAAGTCTATGTGTTCAAAAGCTTGGGTCAGTTCTAGTATTTCGTTGTTGATTTTTGGCCTAGATGACTTGCCTGTTTGTGACAGTGGGGTATTTAGATCACCCACTACAATTCTATTAGTGCTTATTTAGTTTTTCATGTTACTTAGTATTTGTTTTATATAGTCAGTGGAATTTATATTTGGTGCATATATGTTCATGATTGTCATCTCTTCCTCTTGAATTTTTCCCTTTACAAGGATGTAGTGGCCTTCTTTGTCTCTTTTAATCAGTTTTGATTTGAAATTTACTTTGTCTGCGAATAAGATTGCTACCCCTGCTTTTATCTGGGGTCCTGTCACATGGGGAATTGTCCACCCTTACACTTTCAGTCTGTGGGCTTCTTTTTGCACTACATGTGTTTCTTGTATACAACATATTGTTGGACTTTGCTTCTTAGTCCAATTTGCCAGTCTGTTTCTCTTGATTAGTGAATTGAGGCCATTGACATTGCTGGTTATAATTGATATGTACTGACTTATTATTGTCATGTTATTGTTGTTTTGTTGACTCTTTTTATTTTTTCCTCCCTCTCCTTTTAGTTTCCTCCCTTGCCTATTTGATTTGCTCTGTTGGGCCTCATGATGTTGTGACCTTCATTGTCTGTTTCTAGGATATTGTGTAGAATTCCTTGTAGTGCTAGTTTGGTATTCATGAAGTTTCTCAGGTGTTCTTTGTCATGGAAGTATCTTATTTCCCCATCAATTCTGAAAGAGAGTTTTGCAGGATACATCAGTCTAGGTTGGAGGTTGTTTTCTTTTAGGACTTGAAATACCTCACTCCAGGCTGTCCTTGACATAAGGGTTTGTGTTGAAGTCTGCTGTGATTCTGATGGTCTTTTCTTTGCATGTGATTTTTTTCTTTTCTCTTACTGCTTGTAGTATTTTGTGCTTCTGTTGGGTTTCTGGGATCTTGATTATTATATGTCTAGGTGTAGATTTTTTTTGATCATGGCTAGTTGGGGTCCTATATGCCTCAGTTATCTGAATGTCAAATTCTTCCCCTCTACTTGGGAAGTTTTCTGTCATTAATTCTGCGAACAGCTTTTTTAAGTCATTTGCATTTTCTCCTGCTATTTCGTGGATTTCTATCAGTCTTATGTTATTCTTCTTTGCATCATGTAGGAGTTGTTGGATCGATTTCTCATGATCCCTTAGTGTTTTTAAGACACCTGTCTTTTCATGGTCACTGATTGCAATCCTATCTTCTAAATCTACATGAGAGTTTATCTTCGCATTCTTTTATTCTGTTGCAAACACTTTCAATAAGAGTTTTCAATCTCCTGGACATGTTTGAATCTGTTTTATGGATTCCATTTCTTTCCTGTTGGGCATTCATTGTTTCCATTTCTTTCTTATGCTGGGCCTTCATGGCTTCTATCATGGTCCTGAGCTCATCTATTTTTTTGTCAGTTTCTGTTGTAGAGTCTTGAATCATGGCTTTCATTTTGCTCACCATCTCTGTGTTTTTCTGGGAAATTATTTGTTTTGAATTTTTCTAGAGCCTGATTGAACTGTTTTGTTACTGTGCTGTGAGTTCTGAGTGTCCTGGTGGTTCACTATTAGACTTTTCATCCTCCTTTGCCCTACTGTTTGCCATTGGTGAACTGGAAGTCTGTCTTTGTGTCTTGGTTAAGTGTTTTCTCATTTTATTTTTGCTGTTGGGTTGTCCTTGATTCAATCTCTAGATCATTAAATCTTCAATGATGTATTTTACCTATGCTGGTTGTTACTGATTTGGTGCCTTCTTGGTGGTCCATGGTTTCATGACTTTTGAAAATGTTCTGTTGTAAGTGTTGGGTTAATATTGATGATATGACGTGAAGTAATCCTGGGATGGACATGTTTTGTGTCTAGATAAAAATCCCTGGGAACAGACTTGTGAAGAGATTTAGGTGCTTGAAAGTGGCATTTTTCCCTCTGGGTCTCTGTTCTCAGCAACTTCCGCTCTTCCCCTGCTAACTCCCTCACCCCTGACTTTGGTAAGTCTGTGGCTGGGTGAGTGAGTAACTGCAGAGGTCTCCAGACAGCACTGGCTCTTGGGAAGAAGCCTAGACCCGAGCAAGGAGCCTGCTCGCTCCACATAAAGGGCTTTGCAATGCAGCAGGCACAATATGAAAGTGGTGTTCGTGTTCCACGCACCCTGGAAGATCCCAGGATAGATTCACTTTTCCTCAGTAAGGGAACACTTGCAAAGGAAGTAATGGAGAAATGAAAAAGTGAGAAAGGAAAAATTAGGTGAGGATTTTTCTGCTACATTTCCATGGCTATAGAGAATTATACCATGGTGTAGAGAAGTCAGGGTTAATTTACTACTAATATAAAAAAATTACCAGTTTAGGAGTGAATACTGTGTGATCTTTCTGATCTTGTAGATTTGAGTGACTTGTAGAACTCTACCCTGTGACAGTACACAAAACTAGAAGTAATAGTTTTACATGGAAATAAAAATCATATCACTCTCAGAATATGTGGTAGTATAATATTTCTGTTCCATGTAGGCATTGTTAGGATGGGCGTAACAGACGATTTACAACATCTGCTTTCTCATATGTATGTGTGACATATGATGTACAAGTCTTATTTGTGATTATGACCTAAAGAGCAAAGTTAGACACCATAGATATTAGGTCTTTAATTGGATAATTATTTGATTCATCACTTTAATTTGAATTGAAGAATTTTGCCGTCACTGGACATTTATGCTTGCAAAATCCATCTTCCAAGTAGGTAGAGGAAAGGTAAAGGGTAGTCCTTTGTGATGAGCAGAACACAGATTCCAAAGGTATGAATAAGAAGGATGAGATTGACCACTGTGTGATTTACTCAGAGCAAATTTTTTAAAAAGAACCACTGTGCTGCTTTAACCCAGTTGTAGACATCTGCTGTTTTTACTACTGATTGGTAAACGTGTCCAGAAGGTGATGAGGTGAGTTAGAAAAGAAACAGAGAACCTTTACAGCAGTGTCCTAATACTGGAAGGACAGTCTTTTCACAGGTGCAGTAGGTTTTGCTTTTTTAGTTTATATGATTTTTAGAATTCAGTTTTACATTATTTTGCGACAGTGCTGCATCCTTGTGGATGTGTCAGCTTTCCAGCTGTGCACCCCTAACTGTGCCTGTCTTGCCTTCTGTTCTCCAGGGTGTTTACAGCCATGGTTTATGGTGCCATGGCGGTCGGACAGGTCAGTTCACTTGCCCCTGACTATGCCAAAGCCAAAGTGTCAGCCGCCCACATCATCAGGATCCTTGAAAAAGTCCCCGCCATTGACAGCTACAGCACAGAAGGCCTGAAGCCGGTGAGTGTGAGGTTTCCACTGTATGTTCTACTCTGGATTGTTTATTTCATTAAGTGCTAATAAAATGTGCTCACCTCCAGGACTTCTACATATCAAAGTTGTAGAGGGAAGGATACTACTAGCTTTATAAGCAGATCCTAGTAATCAGGTTTTCTGATGTGTAAGTTACTCCATTCTAGAGAGGCAAATTTATCGTTTTCTATTGGATTCTGTTGCATTCACTAAAAGTATTTACTCTTAGGTCTTATTCATTACTTCTAGCTTTATGAATCAATGTTACCTCTAATAGGATTCCACTACCATTTGAAACCCGGCGGTGGAAGGGCTCGGCTCAGTGGTGGAGAACCTGTGGCATGCATGCCACAGTGGGCACACACAGCCTGCTCTGATGGCAGGCTAGCCAAGAGCGCAGCAGTTCAGCTTTGGATATTTGGTTTAAGGGAAGTGTTGGCACTTTGCAGTAAATACGTGGGTGTTGGTGGCAGCTCCACTCGTCTCTAAAAGCTTTGTCACCTCTGGCTTCAGCCTACCCCGTGATTCAGCACTGCAGCGAACTTACTGCTGCCGTCCTCATTCTAGAATATGCTGGAAGGAGATGTGACCTTCAGTGATGTTGTGTTCAAGTACCCCACCCGGCCAGACATCCCGGTGCTGCAGGGGCTGAGCCTGCAGGTGAAGAAGGGCCAGACGCTGGCCTTGGTGGGCAGCAGTGGCTGTGGGAAGAGCACAGCGGTCCAGCTGCTGGAGCGGTTCTACGACCCATTGGCCGGGACAGTGGTGAGCGCTCTCCTGTTCAGCTCATTTCAGGCTTTTCATCATCGCAAGGCCTTGGTGTGTTTTTCCTTCTCAAGGCCGAGTCTTTGTTTTCCAGTCTCTTACCTAACAGCCCCCCTTGGGTAAGGTCTGGTAGCAAAGCTCTCAGGGAAGTGCTGATGGTAAACAGTGTACTAGGGCTGCAGAGTGGGTGGGAGGGGAAATAAGACTGAGGAGTGTTTGCCTTAATTTGATAAACAGCTTTAGTGCCTCTGACTTATACTCTAATATATTCACAGGTTCCCAGGTTAAGGGAAAGAATATGTATGCTTATCAGAAAACCATGTTAAAACATTAGAAACATGTCCTTTCCCCAAAGTGTACAATCACAACCTTGTTAGATTAACCTTGGTAATGGAAAGCTAGACAAATGTGACTTTCAATTGATCTCAGAGTACTCTGACTCTTTTATAGTATGAAATAATGGTGCTTATTTTGATACAGTCAAAGTGTGCTAGTCCTGAGGTTGATGTGTGGACTCTTTTCAGCTTGTGGATGGTAAAGAAATACAGCAACTGAATGTCCAGTGGCTGCGAGCACAGCTGGGCATTGTGTCCCAAGAGCCCATCCTGTTTGACTGCAGCATCGGGGAGAACATCGCCTATGGAGACAACAGCAGGACTGTGTCACAGGAGGAGATCGTGAAGGCAGCCAAGGAGGCCAACATCCACCAGTTCATCGAGTCGCTGCCTGATGTAAGTGTCCCTCCACAGGAAGCCCAGGAGCCTGTAGTCTCCTTTGTTTTTTGTGTCATTTTCATTCTTGTCCCTCCTCCTCCCCCTCGTCCTCCTCCTCTTCCTTCGCATCCTCATTCTTTTCATTTGCAATGGTAGGGATGAAACCCAGGGCCTGGTGTGTGGTAGGCAGGTGTTCTATCACTGAGCTGCAGGGGGTGAAATCAAATGGTGCAGCCCTATCGTGTGCTGTCTAACGGATTGGTTTGGTAAGGTGAGGAGAAGGTAGGGACCAGAACACAGTCCCACTTGTATTCAAGCATCTGGCCACACTTCCCGTCCTGGTTAGTAGTTTTACTTACCTGGTCACGTAGCTCTGCTTGTGAGAAGGGTTGAAAGAGTTGGGATCAGGTTTAGGAGAGAGGAACTTTGCTGGGGTAGGTGACCTGGAACAGCTGTCCAGCTTGTAGACTTGCTTGAGCCCTAGGGGTAGGTAGGATGTTAGGAGGCCTTTGAATTTCCCTGCTAATCCAAGGATAGGACTTGCAGTGAGCACCTGGGCCTCCCCTGTGGCCATGATGCTTCTGATCTTGCCAGGGAAGCAGGCACGACCTGTCCCTCCCACTCGCTCCTTCATGTGTCTTCCTTCTGCTTCCTGCTGCTCTTCTGTAAGCTGTGACCTCACTCTATGCAGTCAGGCCAGGTTCAGAGCTGGACCCATGGCAGACAACGGGCTTTCTGACCATAACTGAGCCCCTGGAATGGCCATGGTATTTTGTAATCATCATACAGCATTGGTTCTAAGCTCCATTTCTATGGTTCAGTGTTGAAATCTGTACTGGGGTTTGTGCTGTGGACAGCCTCTGAATTCCTATAGTACAGTGGTGGCGGCAGACCTGTGACACACATTTTTTTGTTGTTTTTTGCTTTGGTATCAGGAGTAGAACTGAGGACCTTGGGCTTATGAGGCAGGCAGCAGCACCGCTGAGCTAAATTGCATGCCCTAGTGGTTTTTCTTTTAAGACCAAAGTTAAGGTATGAGTTTCTTTTTCTGATCCAAGGCCTTATTGAATTACAGTGTTGGCACCTTGTGATAAATCAGTGCATTCTGGGTTGCAGTTTTGACTTTAGTTTCTAAAAGGTTTGCCATCACTCATCTCTAGGAGGTTAGGTAACAAACTTCTCACCTTCTCTTGGGACCTGTTAAGTTGTAGGCTTGACTCAGCTAAACTATGCAGTCCCATTTTATCACTAGGTAGGTGTTTTATTACAAGAAATTACTCCTAAAAAATAAAGCTCAGTAGCCTCAAACCCGAGAGGAAAGTAACCTCCTCATGAGGGGTGGTAACATTAGGCAGCCCCAGCGCCTTGCAAGATTCTCTTTCCTATGGCTATTCTTCAGATTCTGCTACCCCAAAACAGTCCCAAGGGTGAAGGCACTGTTGTCCTCCTCAGTCTTGTCCAGTTACGGACAATGGACTCCGGCTGAGGCTTGAACGTGTAACATGTAAAGTTCCAAACTGTCAGAGTCAGTGCTTCCAAGAGCTTGCAGGGCTGGGTCCAGGCTCCTCAAAACACTGCACATGCGCTGAATCAGAGAGAATGCAGATACAGAGGTTTACACGATTAGCTTACAATATCTGCACACAGAGTGAAATGTAGAGTGCAAGAGGTCTGGCCGAGCACTAGAGACCTGAAGAATCCAGCGGAGGCCTGGAGCCCATGGCAGCGTTCCTCATGAGCCCCTGTGAGGAGGCACAAGAATCATCTGTGGAAACCAAAAGGGTCTGTGCTGGAAGCTATGAGCGGACACTCAAGGTGAAGGTGAGCGCCTCCAAAGGGAACAGCCTAGGCCCCTCCAAGGAAAACCAGCAATGAAGCTCCTGCAAGGAAGATGAGCTGAAATCCTCCCCTCCTGTTCTGCTTTTATCTGGTTCCAGTGACCGTCCTTAAATGAGTCTTCCGCACCCAGAAGCACTCTGATTCAATTCAGCTGGGCCTTCCCGCTCAAGTTGACAATTCACCAGTTAGTGAGGGGTCAGGGATTCTCAAAGCACTCACATGGATCAGCACCACCTGGGCACTGGCTACAAATACACGTTTCAGGCCCATTCCCGCCTCTGCTGACTAAACCCTTGGTAGTGGAGTGCAGCAGTGCTCATCCCGGAGATACTGATGCAGAGTAACTAATATCTGCTGTTTCAATATACCCTGCTTCCCGGGTCTTGTCTACCACAGGGACGCCACTTTTCTGGGCTCCGGGTGTCTGTCCCTCACACTGCACACCTGTGGACCTTACGGGTCTTTCCCTCAGTGTCTAGATCAGCACTCCAAGTTCTTAGATAATTAAGCTCTATTATCTCAGGTTACATTTTCCTCCCTGTATGATTCGTAGCAGGATCCATCTACAGAGGCCGGTATGGGCTCGTCTGTTCTAGGGTCACAGCCCTGCCTCACCTGCCTCACAGGACACCCCCTGCATCAGTGCAGCCCAGTAGCACCTGCAGTCACTGGAGACACGCTGCAGTGCACCTGCTGCAGCTCTGGGCGGAACCGCTCCCCAGTCTGCAAAGCCTCTCCATGGGTGTCCTCCCCTCCCTCTTCCCCTCTCTCCCTCTCTCTGTCCTCCCCCGTCTCCCTACCTCACCACCTCCGTGTAATTCTGACCACCATAGACTTAAGAGTTCCCAGACATAGTACCGGGCAGCACGATGGAAAATGTGGATTTCATGCTCCACATGCAGGTGTAAGAATCAGAGCCCACTGGTGGACTGTGATTGCAGCCTCAAAAGGACTAAGATGATAAGGTAATAGTGTTTCCTAAGATGTGTGTGCCTCTGTAGCCAACCTCTGCTCTCCTTTATGTACCTGCTCCTGGCCTCACCAGCACACTGAATGGCTGTAGCCATTCTGTGCTGTGGGAAAAATTATGGGGAGAATTGTGAAAGAACTTTGAAAACAGTTTTTGAAAGATACCTCCCTTTTCCTTGTTGGTATCAAAGTGAATTTCTTAGCACCCTTGGAAATGGTTTAAGTGTTGAAGGTGGTCTCATGAGAACAGACACGAGAAGGACGATGTCCGTAGGTTCTTCTTTCCTCCTTTTAAACTTGTGCAGAGGACACTGACTGCTAGGTTTGCACAAGTGCAGTGTGTTTAAATCGTGCTGCAGAGCCTACTGTGATAAGATTGCCTTTCTCCTGCTAATGTTTGTTCTGCAAATAATGCAAGTTGAAAATGGACGATGAGAGCACCACAACAGTATTCTTCATGAAATGTCTGGCTTACAATAAAACAAAATTTGTAGTTTTCAAAAGAGAAATTAAACCTATCACATAGAGTATTTTTGTTGTTTCCATCTCCATAAACACACTCTTAGCTTCTGCATCTTAATTTTTCTAATTATTCTGTCAGAAAACACATCCCCTCTCTGAGGGAACTGTGTGTTTGACTCTCGTAATAACAGACTTCAATTTGCAGAAATACAACACCAGAGTGGGAGACAAAGGAACTCAGCTCTCCGGTGGGCAGAAACAGCGCATCGCCATCGCCCGTGCCCTCGTTAGACAGCCTCGTATTTTGCTTCTGGATGAAGCTACATCAGCTCTGGATACAGAGAGCGAAAAGGTGCGAATTTAAATTGAGTTCATTCACACTCGAATCAGTTGTGCTCAAAAGGTTTCGCTGTTTGCTTTTCTCTTCCAAAACAGAGAACAAAATGTAGGCAGATGTGCTGATTGTTGTTTAGGGCTCTTGCAGTGGAATTTAAGTAATTCCTGCAGCTGTCAATTTAGGAGTGCTAAGGTGAGACAAGGTACATAACCGCTACAGCACATAAGCTCCGGAAGCCGCATGCAGGAAGCGTGTTCCCCATGTCTGCCCGCAGATCTCTGCAGCAGCCCCGTGTGAAGTGTGAGGCAAGGTCACAGTCTGGCTGTACCTTAAGGGAAGTGGTGGTAATCATTTTCAGCTTGAGAATAGGTTAAGAATTCAGCCATTCGAAACACAGACTGTGTAGGAGAGGTTTTCTGTCCTAAAGATACTAACGTTGAGCTGTGTCCAATGGTGCACACCTGTAATCCCAAGCACTCTGGGAGGCTGAAGCAGGAGGATCACAGTGCAAGTCAGCCTGGACTACTTAGTAACTGAGTGAGTGAGAGACACTATCTCAAAATTGAGAAATTTTAAAAGGCTGAGGATGTAGCTTAGTGTGAAGTCCCTGGCTTCAGTCCCTACCACTGAAACAAACAAACGTTAGGCGTGAAGGAGACTGGGTTTGGCCTTTGTTCAGGCTTCCTGATTTGCTGCTGCAGAGATGCCTCAAGTGGCTGCTTTTAGGAATGCTGGATGGTAAGGAACATTTGGAAATGTTTGCAAATTATTGGATGGACTAAATTATTGCTATAACGTTAAGAACAGGAATAATCCATCTCAGAACTTAGCTAAACAAGGACTCAAATATTTTCTGATGGGACAAATTCCTTGGTTTCTAAAATCTGTTACATTTCACTGACACAGCTACTAAAGAACAAGTTAGAGAAACTGGAGTTTGTGAGGAGGAGAGACCATCATTATGAATATTAACTTCTGTGATTGTGGAGCAGGTTGTCCAGGAAGCCCTTGACAAAGCCAGAGAAGGCCGCACCTGCATCGTGATCGCGCACCGCCTCTCCACCATCCAGAACGCAGACGTCATCGTGGTGATTCAGAACGGCAGGGTCAAGGAGCACGGCACACACCAGCAGCTGCTAGCACAGAAAGGCATCTATTTCTCCATGGTCAGTGTCCAGGCTGGGGCAAAGTGCTAGTGAAGTCTGACCATGTGGGACATTAAATATTAAACAGTTGTGTTTAAACCCGTCAGTTGGGCCCGGGATTTAGCTCAGTGGTTCTGCTGCCTGCCTCTCAAGCAAAAAGACCTAAGTTCAATCCTTGGTGCCAAAATTAAAAATAAAAATAAACCCATCAATTGATCATAAAACAAGCCCTGGATTAGGTAGTTACCTATTTAACATTTCCTGCCACAACTGGATAATTTCAAGTTCAGAGTCATCGGAGACTTTATAATTGAAGAATCCTAAATAGAACCACTGTCAAATGGGCATGCGTAATGGTTTATATCCAGTACAGAGTTCATAAAAGGGTTTAATGTAATTTTGGAGAAAATGTCATTTGATTCATACTTTGTCATTTGAACTATGAGGGCTGTTGTGAAAAAATAAATAATAAACAGTGCTGATATTTTTGCCAAAAGTGCCTACAATAAAAGTAAACTTTCATATCCTTGGTGTCATGTTGTCTAAAATGCATGTGAACATAAGTATTCTTGCAGTTTGAATGGTATAGATAATCTTGGCTTCCAGAAAATGGATTCATTAAAAACCCATTCAGTTCTGTGGATCTAAATAGTTCAAGTCTATTTCATTAGTTTTTTCAGGTCTGGTTTCACAGACCCTTCTGGCTTCCAGCTTCCACAACTAGATCCTGCTGATTCCCACACTTCCATGTTATTATGGAACTCAGACCTGTGTCACAGATTATTATAATTTGGGAAGGTTCATGAGGGGAGTTGTGTATTCCTGAGGTTTACCTTCAAATTTTGTACTCCTGTTACAAAGGGCTTTTCAAAAATTTTTTCTCTCTTAACAATGAATCACTCTTCCAAGAATTGCTCTCCTAAAAATCTAATCTTCCTGATTTTCACATTTATAATATGCTATGAGTTTAAATACTTCATATTTCAAACCTGAAAGAAGAAAAGAAGAAATTATTGCAAAGACTGGTCCTCTGTCTTCCAAATTTTACATAAATTTAGTGGAAAAACTGATTGAAAATCATAAGTTTAGGGCCATATTTTCTGTAAACAGCTAATACCTTTAATATAACTGTAATGTAAAAACAAAGACTTCTCCAACAAAAAAATGATAAAAAATGTGATCTAGTTTTTTCAAAGGCGAGAAATGTATGAGAAGTGTACAATTTCAATCAAAAAAATTTCAATTACTTCACAGCATAACAAAAACAAAATGTATGTCATTTGAGACAGTTTAAATTCTAGCAAAATCTTTAAGAGATACACAATGGTTGATTATAAAATTGAAAATGAATACTGTGCATATTTCACAGTAAAAATTATGCATTAAATTTTAGTGCATTCATAAGATGTAATGATTGAAAAATTAAATTGGACAGCCTTTCTTTAAAGGTCACCAGTGCTGCTCCCTCTTCTACTTAGAAGAACCTGAGTAGCAAATAAGCAGTTGAGTTTCGAGTTGGGGGTAGCACTTGGGAACACAGCAAGAGACAGACAGGAAGCTCACAGGACACAGAAACCCAGGACACTAATATGGAGAGTGCAATAAATCCCACAGCTGCAATCCTGTTTCTGCTTCTGGGAAGTCTCCCTGCTGCAAGGAAAAGGGTGAACAGCAGCCTCCACAGGCCCCATTGTGACCAGTGGCAGCCTCACTGCAGATAGGGGCAACGCCAACAGGAGGGACAGCCCAGAGCCCAGTTCAAAGAGCTTCCAGGAGTTTACCCTGTAGCTTTGCCCCATAGAAGGAACAAGTACCATCTGCCCCTCAGCCCACAGGTCCCAGGCTGTTGCAATATGGGTAAAATATTGGGATCATAGATATGTATAATGCTGCTCAAGGCAACTTAATCAGCTTCAGATGCAAAGTCTACCTTGACTGGTTGAAGCTGTCACTAATCAACCTGAGCCATAGTCAGTTTAGCTTTCACAGGTCAGAGCTGTGCTACCCAAGCCACAATTAGCCAGAGCTACCAAACTCTGCTAAGCCAACATATGTGTTTTACTCTTCATGCCTCCTGCTATTGCAGGCAATGCCTAGTTACCTGAAATGCTGTAAGCAAGGATCTGCTGCTGCTGCTACAAAAGTACTGTACTGCACCATTTCCAGCACGGACAGTTCTATTGCCAGAGTAGCCAAACAGTAGTCACCACACATCTGCTGTGTGCATAAAACCCACCTGGGCGACTATAGTGCCTACTCCCTACCGTGATTTAGATCCAAAATGGAAGACCTATACCATCTGAGAGGTGAGTGATTATAGGGGCACTGTAGCTGACTTGGTACTAACATGTTGTTTATCTCCCTGCCTCTCTCCTCCCTTCTCTCTCATGTCCTGGCTGCAGCTTCTCTGCAACAGACCCTTCCTCTATGCTGTTTATAAGCAAGCCGAACAGCTGTGGTCTCAAACATCTAAAAACTATGAGCCAGTGTGACCTCTCCTTTAACTTGTGGGTGTCAGGTATTCTGTCTCAGAAATACAAAGGTGACTGTGACACCCCTCCACATGACTGCTGTAGACAGAAGGGTTCTCTCATTGTAGCACCATGCACACCACACTCAGATCTAATGCTCACAGTCATAGACGCTATAGGGAAAAGGTACCCGGGTGCTCACCTGGAAGCAATGCTAACATCGTTCCAAATCATACCTAAGTCACATCTTCAGGACAAAACCATTTAGTACAAACCTAGTTTATAAAAATAGCACAGATAACTAATTTGCCAGCTGCAGAAATCTGAACATTGGGTGGCTAGAAATATGAGAGAAAAAAAGATGCTTCCAAAAGAACACAATGACTGGGAAAGGGCCTTCATGAGAAGGATGTTGGTAAAATGGTTGGCAACTTAGAAAGACCCTATCCAAAATTAAAAGGGCAGGGGATCTGCTTCAGTGGAAAAGCACCCTGGAGTTTAATCCCTGGTAGTAAAAAGTAAAATAACTAAAAAAAGTAGAATTCTCCACAACAGACTAGATCAAGTATAAGAATGTCTCAACTTGAAAACTAGTCCTTGCCAATATCACACTCAGACACAGAAAGACAGAGATAAACAGAGAAAAAGAATGAAGGCTGGGAATTTAGCTCTGGTTCCACTGCCTGCCTTGCAAGCTCAAGGACCCCAGTTTGATCCCCAGTGCCAAAAAAAAGAAAAAGAAAGAATGAAGAGAGTTTATGAGACCATGGGGACATCATGAAATGAATAAATTCCTGAAGGTGAGCGAAAAAGGATGGGCATAGAAAACCTATTCAAATGACATACTGTTATGGAAGGAATCAGTAAGTGACACACAGGCAGCAGAATGGAAGTAAAATAATAAATTTACTTATCAATAAGGGTTGATCACACATAAGCCATGCCTGGATCAACAACGCAGGGGGTTACAACTCCTCCTTTTATAGGGTTTTACAGCCTTGACTTCATTTGGGTGGTTACGTTTCATTCTCACAGTTCAAATCACGGTCACAGGATAGTTAATCTTTTCAACCCAGATGTAACAGTTCTTTGCAGTTGGGGAGTCTAACTTTAAGATTTTCCTAGTTATCTGTCCTAGTCCATAGGAAAGGGGTGTTCAGGGTCAGGGGAACAAATGTTAGCAATGGGTTCTTTCACTTAGACACTTTTACGATCAGGTGGCTCCAGTCTCATCAGAGCGCAAGACCTTGACTGTTATCTCAAGGAAAGACCAAAAGCCTCATTTAGCAGTTAGTGCCTTCCGTGCCTATCAGTTTTGAGCTAAACAAAACAAACTGCTGTTAGAGACAGCTGAAGCCATTTTATATTGTAACACTTTATAGGTTTTTGCTATTTATAAAAGTTTTCCCTATCAATGCTAGCTGGAAATTTCCTTAATCTTGGGAAAAATGCAAGCTTCCAGGTACAAGAGGCTTACAGGACCTGAACTAGACATAACCAGAGAAAATTTTTACCTAGACATGGTAGAGTCAAACTGTCAAAAGTTTAAAACAAAGAATCAACAACTGGGATCTCATCATATTAAAAAGCTTCTGCACTGCAAAAGAAACCACCAACAGAGCAAAGAGACAACCTACAATGAGGAAAAAAATCTTTTTGCCAGCTGCTCCTCAGAGAAAGTACTATTATATAGAATATATAAAGAACTGAAAAAAATCAGGCCCCCAAATATAAAGACCAGATTTTAAAATGGGCATCTGAAATGAAAAAAACATTTCTCAGACAAAGATGTAAAAGCAGAAAATAAATATATGAAACAATTCCATATTACTGGTCATTCAAGAGATGCAGATGAAAACACCACTGAGATTCCACCTTACTCCAAGAAAGAATGGCTGCTATCAAGAAATCAATCAATAACAAATGTTGGCAGTGCTGTGGGAAGAAAGGAACCCTTCTCCATTGTTGGTGGGAGTGCAGACTGGTGGAACCACTGTGGAAATCAATATGGAGATACCTCAAAGAACTAGGACTAGAGGTTCCATTTGACCCAGCTATCCTTCTACTAGGTATCTTTCCAAAAGAATTAAAAGAATCATATCACAGTGATATATGTGCACCAATGTTTATAGCAGCACATTTTTAAAAAGACAAAATTGAAAACAGCCCATTTGCCCATCATTTGGAGACTGGATAAAGAAGATGTGGTTTTTCTGTAAAATGAAATACTACTCATCCATAAAGAATGAGAAATTAAGAGTCATGCATAGGAAAATAGACATATATCGAGGCCATACTCAACTGAAATAAATAAGACACATGTAAATACTGAATAGTTTCTAGTGTGAAAATCTAAAAGTGTAAATAAGATCCAAATTGTATAAATGATAATGTGAAATAGGAAGAAAAGGGATAAATGTGCAGGGGAAGTGGGAAGAGTAAGGGAAAGGAAATAAGGGAAAAGAAAAAGTATGAGAAAAAGAAAAAAATGGAAACAAAGTCTGTGTAAATAGGTGAGATTGGAGGGGGTGAAAGGGAGGGCAGGGGTATGGAGAAACAATGAGAACCAAGACCTGTCATGTAAAGGTACAAGATCCCAGTGATGAATGTAACTGTACTGTATACTTAAAACGTGCCAATAAACTCAATAAGGAAAATGGTTTAAAACAGAATTCTAAAGACTGTGAGAGGAAAAAAAAGCACCAAGTCACATTCGCAATTATTCCCCTTTGACTAACAGAATGATTCTGCCAAAACCTACGGAGAAGGGAATGGGATGATATATGAAGACTTAATAGAAGAACCTAGTGTGAATACAATAGCTAATAAAGCTATCCTTCATTAATAAGCAAGTAAGAAAGATTTCTGAGATGAACCAAGACTGAGATAATTTATCATAATCAGACCAGCCATACAAAGTATGCTTACAAGAGTTGTATATTCAGAAAAAAAGAAAACTTCCATCATGAAAACACAACAAAGTATAAAACTTGTGTAATGGTGAATCATCACTGACAACTTCATTGAGTTGACAAGCACCCAGAGAATTAGTAAAGCACGCATCTGGCTGTGTCTGTGAGTGCTTCCAGAGACAACTGGCATGGGATCTGGGGAGCTGACAGGAGGGACCTGCCCCTATTGTGGGTGGCACCGTCTA